AACTGCTCATAAAAAGTATATATTTTGCCAACTCTTAATAGCTCATTCCTTGATTATCTATAAGTACAGAAATTTTAATTTTAGCAAACACAACTTTTCTTGTTAGGATTTTGGAAGGGTAGATCAGAACAGCGGTGGAAATGTGAGAGGATTTCTATTGAGCTGCCTATTTGCTATGATGGCCAAGTGCCTTCACATCAGGTGAATTGAGAAACACTGACATTCCAAGAAAGCTTTCTGTCTGTTGTCTCTGCCAGATCATATAAAGTCTGAACAAAACAGCATGCAAATTCAGGGCAGGGTATCTGAACAGAAAGGAAAGCATATGATCTATACCATGCCCATGTCAGGTGAAGAGAATCATTCACTACAGGATGAAAGCTTGTTAAAAATGCAGTCAGGATAGTTATATTTGTCACAAGTGCAAAGCTATGCAGACTTGGGTATTGTACCAGCACTTGTACTCTGTATGCATACGTTTCATGCAATGCAAGCATACATCCCTCTGACTGAAATAACGCTACTCCCTCATCAGCAAGAGCAAAATTATGTAAATGACATTACAGGCGGGGGAAGGGGGGAACACACAAATATCTTCCAAAAATTTTTAAATAGTCCGTAAATTACTATGTCCCCAAGTATCACAGCCTCTGGATATATATTTTTTTTAAATACCGCATGTCCCCTACAAAATATCGAACAAAAAGCCATTGAGATTTGAGATTGTACTCTATATCAGGCCGGGAATTTCTCATCTATAATGTACTGACTCCTGGCTGTCCTGAGAGTCAGACTAGATACAAACAGTCTCAAATCAGTCAAAAGATGACCAAAAGTGAGGGGGAAAAAATCCCCAACGAAATACCTTCACATTTCAGGATACTACGGGGTAAGAAAAATAATACCTTGCTTCAGAAGCGCTTTTGCAGTGCTTTGTTAGTGCCTGTTTGTGAATACTAACAACAATCATTTAGAATATCTTTTTGTAGAAAGAAAATCAGGCAAGATAATACCAGTAGAAAAGTCAATGTCATTTGATCACTGCCATATTTTTAAAGCACTGCCCAGATACTAATGAATCTCTACAATCTCATCATTTGGTAGGTGACTCATTATCATCTTTTCATGGAAAAGGTTACAGGAACTGAAGATAAGGGATACATCTAAATGTTCAAAACACACGGTGAGTTTGTTCTAGAATTATCAAAAGGATTTCCTGTCCTTTTCTTAGACCAATACCCCACGTTGCTCTCCTCTTCCTCATAAAAGTTGATTGAAATATACATATCATACTTATATATAAATACACAGAGAAACAGAGAAATATGTAGTAATTCAATAGGAGCAAAAGAGGAAAAAACCCTTATTAATATCTGAATAAATATATAATTCAATAATATTTCACAGTTATTAACTGTGGAAGTAAGAAGAAACTTCTGCACTAAAAAATAAAACAGAGCAAAACAGTGAAAGTGAAGTATGAAAATGCTAAGACTAAGGCAAGACATTGAAGGACAAACATTAAGCAAGTAAATGCAACAGAACTGCCTGCCTGCCTGATCACTTTAGAGCAGCTCCCAGAAGGCCAAAGTAGAGTAGAGCTTCTGTGCAAGGGTTTGGAAATAAGAATTGATGGTAGAACAATTTCTTTACAACCCTTTGGAGACTGAAGAGCCAAAACAGGAGGGAAATGAGATCTAGGCCACTTGTGAGATAGACCAATTTAATGGAATGCACAAGACGGCCCAAAATTGAGCCCTAGATTAAATTCCAAGTTACCTTCCCCATCAAAAGAGGTCTGGAGAGGAAACAGAAATGAAGCAAGCTGTGTGTATCAAATGCAAAAGGTCTTTCAGTCGGCATCTGCACATGCTGCCAGTCTATAGCAATAAAATCTGCAAACCTGATGTAAAGCATGAAAACACGCACTTTAGTGCATAATTCAGAACAGGCTTGGGTTTTCCGTGCAAAATTTGAAATGTCCTTTTACCTTGACTGCTCAACACCAAAAATTTGAGGCTAAATGTCTGAACGGCTGTTTGCAATTCCATAGCAATTCAGAGGGACGTGCTTGCTCCTGGCCGTTCTAAGCGCTCCAAGTCATGTTGACAGGGATTCCCCGTGATGTGGGCTCATACACTGAGCAATAAATCTGACCTTCAGGGGTGGCCACACAGTGAGAATTACACAGCCACAGAGTGAGAATTACAGCAGCTTCAAAAAGGACCATGTATTCAACTCTCCCAATGAGAGCAAGAGTCACAGTGGTATTTTATCAAGAAAGGCATGAAGTGTTCATAACTTTACATCTCAAGGTTTTAGTGGGACAAGAAAATAAATGGCTAAAAAATAAAACAAACCAAACTCTCTAGCAAATAATATTGTTAAGTTTTCAAGACTCTAGAATTGAAACAGACTGGTTCTCAAAGTTTTGTTCATGTATTTTCAAGTTATTAAGTATGTCCGCACTACAAAATAGTTGGCTTGGTTTTAGTTCTTTTCAGTATATAGTATTCTGAACAAATATGAGCAATTTTTTAAATAGACAAAATTCAAGATTGCTTCAGAAAAGAGTAAACTCTAAGTGAAAACAGGGCTTCAGAGATGCTATGCATTGAGCACAGTGGCTTAATTACTTTAAAGCAAGTCCTTCCATACCTACACAAAACAGAGTATTACTAATGACAGTGACAGAAAACGATAACTACTCTCATTTCCACTTTGAGTCATTTTTCTGTGGTTAATAAATTATATCCATAACAGTGTTAATAAGTTATGGTACGGTGTCACCGCATTAGTTTGCATTTATGATGAAGCACTTCATATGGCATTACCTATACCCATGGAAGAACAGAACAGGAGAGAGCCCTTCTCTGCTCTCAGAAGGATTTCCTATGCTGGCACTTTGATGGATCCCCTAAATAAATGCTGTCTCCTGACCTCTGCCTTGCTCTTACTTCTCACCTCTGCTGCAGGAGCACGCCATGGCAGGGCAATTCAAAAACTTTAATACCTTTAGTAAAACACTGACACTCTTAAATCAGTGCCCTTTCCATAGGAATGATATACAAGGAGTTAGAGGTAAGGCAAAAACGGGAAGTATTCTGATCAATTTACTCATGTGAAAAGGACACTGTCAGATCAATTCATCTTCCCTCAAGCTCCCAGAGGAAAACAGGAAGACTTAGACTGACTGATGGGCTCTTGATCAACTACTGTAAAAGCTTGTTTTTCCTAAAGTTAAGAATAAATAAATGTGCTTTAAACTTAATATGATTTGATTTTTAAAGAAAAAAGAAAAGCAGAAGCTATTTAAATTCTTGCAACCCAACTATGGCAGCACTGGTGAAGATAGAGATGTCAACAGTAATAAGCACACTTTTAGCAACTGGAAGAAGCTCATGGCTTTAAGTATATTCTTTTATAAATAAAGAAATACAAACCAGTAAACAAACTGTCTCAAATCAGAGTTCTGTAGTGTGGAGTTTTAGTCATCTTAAGCATTAACTTGAAGAGCTGCTATTAAGAAAGATGGTTTTTTTTGTCCATTAAAGTTATTACATAAAAATTCAGTATAGTTTGAAAGAAATTTTTTTAGAAGAATGTAATTATTGATTTGTCTCCTGTACCAGGATACTTTCTATAGTAAAGTATTCCTTTTAAAATCTTTCCTGCTTTATATATACATATATACAGAAACTCCTTTGTGAAACTCAATGTTCAAATAGAAATGAGATATTCCACCTCAATAGAAATTATTTGCTTTCTATCAGAATCAAGTAAAAAGTAGCACTATTAGATTAAAATGGAGAAAAATCCCAAGTTATCTGCAGCCTCCATAAGCCAGCAGTGCAAAAGCTCGCATGCTTTTACAGTAGGTACATACAAGATAACTTCATAGACATATTACTGGAATGGCTTGCAACCAGTGAAGATAATTTTGATTATTTCCACTTCAAAACTTCCTATATTGGAGCCACATCACTGAAAACAATCTAACCGTAGGGGGAAAAAAAAGTGATGGGAAACAAGTCTGCTAATCTCTTCATGAAAACCAGACAGAGGAGGAGAGTAGTCTCCTGTAGATTAAATGAAGTCTTTCAGAGACAAAGAATCCAGTATTCTAAGCAAAAGAAATAAAATCCCCATAAAAATACCTTCACTTAATTTCTCTTCCTCCCTCCCTGCCACAACTAGCATCATTTATTTGTATAGTGAATTTGTCTCCGCTGTGCCACAATGAAATACATTTTAAAATTTAAAAGGTAAAAAAAATACCATGTTCCCACCACAGCATCATTGGACACCATACTGCATAGAAAAATGAGTTGTGCCTTTGCAGTAATTTGACAAGAGAAGAACAAAAAGAATGGCAAAAATAGAACAATACGACTAACGCTTGAAGAATGCATCGGTTCAATATTTAGCAACGCATAAATTGAGGTCTCATTTTTGTTTAGGTATATTTTGATTATAACTAATAAATGACTGATTTTCCTTTGGTTCTCTGCAACAACAACATATCACCCAAAGAGCTTTATTCTTTATTCCATTCTCATATAGCATGCCAAAGACTGTCTCGGTTTATGAATTAGCATTTAAAACTACTGTAGGTTATCTAACAAGCATTCAGATTCAATAGTACTTTTGACAGCAGTAAGTAAAGAGCCTTTTAACATCTTGAACACATGTGCTTGAAAAAAGTAGTTGCATCAAAGCAGTTCAAAGACTGCAGACAAAAACCAGTTAAAATCCAGTTTGCTGAGAGATGATTTTAGTGTGGTGTAAACAACCTTTCACGACTTCCCATGGGAAATGTTGTAAGACTATGTTCAAAATGAATCAGGCATATTTATAAAGATCATGAAGTGGTCAAATGCATTTGCATTTTTGGCAGATCTGCTCCACGGGTACTACTTGCTACAGTCTGTAGAAATCTCAAATCTCACATCAGCCTTGCCTATAGTGCTTTATTATTTATTACATGTTATGCTAAGTACCTGCGAAAGGGGACATTCCTTGGCCAATGAACTCTGGTTCATATCCTTCAGTAAGTCCTTCAGAGCATTTCTTACTGTTGTGTGAGACCATTGTTCAGGAGGCAAGTCTTCTAGTTTAGGGCAACTATTTGAAACACAGATTAGAAAAGGGATTATTACAAGATTGCATCCTGCTGCAGAACATTCCTTTAAGACAGACAGATTTCATTTTGCGCATCAAGCAGATGCATCTGGAGATTGCTCTCGGTCTCCTGATTGTTCCGATTAGTTAATTACTTTATACAACACATCTGCTGTATTGATGCATGAATTATACATCAGCTGCATGTGGCGACTATTTTTTCATGTTACTTCTACCTTCCTGCTCTGATGCGCTTGGTAAAACAATTTAAGGTGTAATGCTTTCTCACGACTGATCATGAAAAGCATTAATATATTAACCATTTTTGCTTTTTTGTTGCCGTGAAATTTAAGAGCCTAGACAGCAACAATAAGTGAGAGCAAGTCATTCTTTTACAAAATGCACACAGATGGTACTGTTCATGATATGCAAAAATATTTTTCTCTTAAGTAAACTTTATGTAAAATGCCTTCTTGTAATGCATCATTTAATTGACTAAAATGCAATATAGTTTTAATGAGATATCCAAAGAAAATCTATGTATCAGAGCTATAAAAGTTTTCTGCAATAGTATACTGTAAGTCAAAGAAGAATTAGAGTAACTAAAAAGGAATTTAGGCAAGCCTTTGTACTTTGAGCACAAAGCACAGTGGGAATTAAATACAAGCAATATTAACAGTTAAGAGCGGACAAGTAACAGTTCACATCCCAGAACTGGTATATGACTTACCTGTGTAACTGGATTTTCAATGTGACCACATGATACACGTCTTGCAGCATGTCTGCTACTGTAGCATCAGGGGCATCTGTCACATAGGAGAGTGGAACTGGATTCCACTTCCCAACCTGGATAAGCCCTGCAGGATTGTAATTTTCGGAGGGGAGGGGGAGTGGGCAAGAAGGGCAGGAAAAATTGAAAGAAAGTGATTTACCTAATTCCTAGGGGCAAAAGAAATATCTGATTTTAACAAGATCACTACCTTTGTTTCTAACCTCTTAAATCTGGCAAAACAAAAGAACAACCCCCTCTAAAAACCCCCACCCACACACCACCAAGGATAGGCCTTATCTATATTATGAAATAATACAAATGCATTGCAGTAGAGGTTTTTAAATATGTATAGAAGTATATTTTCCTAAGCTCCCACGAATTCAGTAGGACATGATATAATAGTTAGCATTCCTCTCAACAAATTAGTAAGAATTTTGCAATGCAAGAATTGAGCACAAAAAAATTACTTTGCAGTCTATAAAACCATCAGGAACAAAATAAAAGAAACAGAGCTGGATATTCAGTCATAAATGCAAGTTGACTCTCAACAGTCCATCTGCTCAAATATGCTTTACACTTCCTTGTGGATCCTCAGTGGAGCAGATTATTAAGGTCAATAAGCATACTAATGATTCAGTTGAAGTCTTTTTTCTTCTTAAAAAAAAAAAAAGAAAGAAAAAAAAAGGAATTTACCTCCACATTCCCCATGAACAAAATGTGCACTAACTAAATAAAAACACATCTAGGAAAAAAAAATACAGACACAGAATCTGTAAGAAGTTTAAGAAGTAAAACCTGCATTGCATTCCTGAAAGAAATCCTGCCCCTCCCCCAAGACCCCACAAACAAACACAATTCATTGTACAATTTCATAATCTTATTTACCTTTTGCTTGGGCAGCAGAGCTGTGAGAATATCCAAGAGATAGCAATGCCATTTCAATCAGCTGGTTGAAAAGCATATCCTTCCTCACCAACACGAATTCTGCATGCTCCTCCTTAGAATCATACTCAATGGCATTTTCATAATGTTCCACTACACAGAAAACTGGAAGCATACTTCCTATTAAAAAAAATTAAATTTAACATATTAAACTTGAGTTATAGTAGAGTAGGTGGGTCTATACAGAGTTATGTAAATAAAACCTGTATGAACAGGCAGAGGAGGCATCAAGAATCATCACAAATATTTGATCAACATATTCCCCGAGTCCTTTCCCTTCACCCTCCCCAAAAACCAGAAAGTTCTACAAAACATATATCTCCCTGAAAGGCAGAAATGCAAAATTATCTCCCTTGATCAGATGCAGATTTAAAGAATTACCTTCTATAGAAATAACAAGGTTGACTGAAGAGAAGTTGATTCTCTCTGTCCTGCCTGATTTGTTGTGAGTAGCAGGCAGCATGAGAACCTAAATACACACTGCAGATGTCTTCACTGTAAGCCATTTTAGTACCAGCCACATAATTTTGTTTGTTAACATTAAAACTTTCTTAGTCCTGCCAAAAATATTTAATTGGTTTCAACACCAACAACAAATCACCTTGTGTGTTATACATTCACTCTGAAAAGAGTACACAAGGAAACAAGGCAAAAGTTAACACTAATTCGTGCTTCATTCACTGAGTGCAATTGAGCACTACTTTCTCTTGCATCTTTAAAGAACAAATCATGACTTCAATGCCACTTTAAGAAGTGTACCTGCAGTTCAGGCTTATTTTTGTTGTTCTTGTTGTTGTCTCCCGCACTTTACATCCCACAACGCTATTTTGGCATGCCTGAAAGTTAATTACTACTTTCCAGTTTTGTAGCATCATATGGCAAACCCTTCCATACACTGCACAGAATATTAAACAAGTGACCTTTTTTCTTTCCTTTTGCCTTTTCCTTTTTTCTTTTTATTTATTTTATTTTATTTTCCTCCCTTTTGATGACAGAGAGAGAAGTAACAAACAACCCAAGCTGGTTTAGGGACAAAGTCTCTCCCAGCAATCAGATTCCTGGACTTTATGAAAATCCCTCCCAGCCTCCCAGATGGACATTGATGACACAATGACCTGTGCTTTTAAGCTCCAATCCTGTTCCACTGTCTCCAGCAGCACAGGTTAGGATCTCTTAATGACAGAAAGGAGAAGGGTTAAAAGGAGATGTACAGAGCTGTCTTATGGCAGCCTGCCAGAGGGGTATCATCTTTAGCATAAATGATGACAAGGGTTATTTTAACAGGGCACCCAGGAACTCCAATTAGTCCTACAATGTTAATGCCTCTATAACCACTGCCCTCTAGACTTACAGAAACCTCCTAACCCACTAAGGTGCACCAGACATGCTGTAGTCTAAAAGGAAGCTTTACTCTTGACAATAGAGTAAGACCACATCTGCTGATTTGTGCTCTAACATATAGTAAGAAATCACGATAAAAAAGATACCTCTTAAGCACGTATATTTAAACTACATCTGTTCACCAGAGAGCCAATCTCTGGCAAACAAACCCCTTCAGGCTTGCAAGGAAAAGCTCACAAACTCACTCCAGTTTGCCCAATAGGCTCAGCATGAAAGACTGAAACACAAGAGCAAAAGCTTGCCAATATTTATGTAGTGCAGGAAGGAGATTTTTTTTTCTTTTAAATTTTTTTTTTTTTTTTTTTTTGGTAATCTGAGTGAGACTGGCCAGGAAGGGAGAGAAGACCAAAGCAAAATCAGTACATGCAAAGTGATGTTTATTTCACTGGTTTTAAATAAGCTGTGGACACACACGATTCATCTGCAAAAAGGTGGTGGTTTGTTTTTTGGGCTTTTTCTCCCTTTTAGGCTCTCACAATTGATGTTTTACCTACTACCATCTGACTCAGAGTAAGGGCTCAAAATTCTTAAGTAGTTTCACCAGTAATTCCTGAAGATAAAGTGTAAGCAAAGCTTCATTCTAACAAACAGTGCAGACACATCCTAAACCAGCTAAAGCATATTTATTTTTCCCCTTATCAGCTCCTACAAATTAAGCTATGATCAGACACAACACACAGGTACTTTGCTGCTTATCAGCACCTTTTTTTTGCCGGGTACATGGTTTCTTCAGTTGCAGCATTTTGGGAAATGAGGTACTTTAAACAACACAGGAGAGCCTCCTGGCCAAATTTTGAGGCACAGCATAGATTAACAGAGGTGGATCCTGGTAGTGCGACACAGGTATCATCTGACTACAAATCAAGCCACTAAATCTTTTAGCAAAACTGTCACTAGTGTCCTTCTGTTAATGTGAAAAATGTTATACAGGAGAGCACAATCTCAGCTGGCTGATCACTCCTGCTAGTACTTGGCAAGACCTCCAAGTGCAGCAACTTCATAACCTTCTAGTATTAAAGGGGAGAGCATTGGTCAGTGCTCCCTGCTAAAAATACAGCATGATTTAAACCTGAAGGCAGTGTTAGAGCTTTTGCTGAAGGTTTACGAGTCTGTGTAAACAGCACGTCTGCCATAAGGAGCACTGAAGTCTGTAGAATCCTTGTCTAAAACTGTCCTGGCATTAAAGTTTGCTGTGCAAATATCACATAATACCAGAGACAGCTGAAATCTCCTATTTAGGAATTTATGGAACTTATATGTTTGCAGGCGTCAGAAAGTCCTTTTTATACAGCTCCACTGCTTCACTGTACAATGTTAATGCACTCTGCTTGAAAAGCCGTAATAAATTATATTTTTAATGCTCTTACCCTGGCTTTCTTAAGATGCATACATTCTTGGCAAACAATCAATAAATAGGGTAATCATGAGCAGAGGCCAAAGAATTTGCTGAAGTGCTGTTTTTCCATTTTTAATAGATAAAGATCTAACAATACGGACTGCTGTGTCTGTTCATTTCAGGATCAATATATTCTTTGTTTTCGCCAAACCGAGGAAAAAATAAATGATTGTACGATAAATGTTATGCATCAGACACAATGAAACTCCTCTGCCTTCTAAACTTTGTGCATTTAATAGTCTTGGTTGCATTTTGCACTTTGCTTAGCAAATACAAGAAAAATCTGGATTATAAACATAACTGATTATAGTAGGAAAAGTAGAGGCTGTTTTAAGATATATGCCAAATTACATGCAGCATATTTCGATTTAAATTAGCAAGCCTGCAGGACATGGTCAAAAAGACTTACAAATTTTGATAAGTAAAATTTGCATATTATTGTCCATTAAAAGTATTTTCAATGCAAACAAAAGCCATCCATATACAAACATCAATGATTCTAAATGTGCTTTTTCCTTGTGTAAATTTCTAATTACAGCAAACCAGCCACTGAAAAATATGACACCCAAGTTGTTCATTGTTCAATAATGAATTGTACTTAAGAAAATAAACTGCGAAGATTGACATCATAAATGACTTTTCCAATGTGATACCTAAAGATTTACACTCTCTCCTTTAAACCAACTTGCAACAGCTATGGAAATACTGCTGCCCTTCCAATCATAGGACCATCATTAGGAGGAAAGGCGAAGAATTTTTTTGGGGGGTTCAGTATTTACTCTTACATATTTTTGCGTTTCTTAGCCCAGCGCTTACTCAAAGAATTAACGCACCAAATTACTTATATTTCAATGTAAGAATTTCCTTAAATCACAGTAGCTAGCCTTTACCTTAGCAAAAATCAGACTCCACCCTGAAAAGCAAGATGCTCCACCCAAGAATGAACCTTACATTTCCCAAAAGTGATTTATATCAGAATTGGGAATATATAGTGTTTTAGAATGGAGATTTTAATCCTGAAATATAAATGAAGTCAAGTCTGCAAAAGTATGCTTCCCCCCCAAATATTATAAATCATATTTCTCTAATGCAGAATTATCAAAAGCGTTACCTTTTCTAATATTAGTTTTCATCAGGTGTCCAGAGTGTTTTAAAGGCACTCCTTGCATTTTAGTTCCTGTACTTCCAAGTCTTCCTCTTCCTAATGGGCTCCCATTCTGTTCCAAGCGCGCAATTTTGGCTGGTGGACCCTTCGGATCGCTTACATTGTTAGACATTTCTGAATGTTCTTTCCCCTGAGTTGCCTCGTTCAAATGATCCATACTCAGTCCCGCCTCTAAAGATCACCTGCCATGATTAAAAAAAAAATATATATGTTGTACACGTGTGCGCATATGTATACGTACACAGCCTGCACATGTACAGAGACAGATATATATGTATCACAAGCTCATAAAGAAGAATAGATAACTGTTTTAACTAGAAATAAATGCCTTTTTTAAAAGAAACAAACTTAGTCTTCAAAAATTACCTCATACCCCAGTTTACAGAGAGATTGTATCATAATCTAGTGGAATGGTTTTTTAAAAGCCAGAGTACTTCTTAAAAAAAAATTTAAAAAATCTTTGGAGATATTCTACTAAAACTGAGAGAGTCTAAAACCCATATAAGTGATGATGATTGTCAAGGTGTGTGCTCCAAGACAGGTATTGTTACAAATCTCACAGAAAGGTTTGTTATTATTCGCGGATGTTTTTGTTGTGGAGGGGGAGAGAAAGATTTTAATGAAAAAATTCTTGATCTCTTTGATTATAAAATGGACAAGCAAAAATAGAGAGATTGTTAAAACTTAAGTTGAAGAAGCAACAGATTTATTAGAGATGTAGACTATTGTCCATTTACAATTCCTCTCCCCCTTGAAATTGGAGGTTAGAAAAGAATTTAACATTTAACTTCAGAAAGCAGTGGCGGGAGAGGATTGCTTTTGAGTTTCCTAACCAATATTATACAGAGTTTATCAACTTTTGCAAGGTTCAAAACATGCAATTTTTCAGATATTAAGCTTCAAGTATTAAACAAAGTAGTTTATTCAATTAAGATAAATAACTGAGTAGTTTCTCATCAAACATAAAGCTGGGGAAAAATCCTCCACAATTTCTACAGTACTTTTGATGCCCTTAAATATAAAAAAACCCCAAAACCTGAGTGATGCTGACACAGCTATTTGAAACCAAAAAACCAGAATTTCAATAGCAAATTAAGAAAAGGCATATATTAGCATGCTTGTACTTCCCTTTTTTAAAACTTTTGAAATCTCTGTCCATGAATAACAATTACAGTTAAATCACTAAAAATCTCCCAAGCCTACAACATAACAGAGTAAGTTTTAAGGATTTTTGCCACTCATCAGTACCTGTTTTTCAACTATATTAAAAAAGCTTGCTGAGAGCAAAGGCATCTTTCTGGTTATGATTTCACTAATCAATACTGTTGTGATTGTTAGGTATTTTATCTACCTTTCCCTGACAGGGAAAGGTATAACTATACAGACAATTATGTTATATATATATATAAATAATATAATCACTAAACACAGGTCAACAGACATTAATCTTTGAACCAGTATTTACATTAGCAAGTACAAATAGTAATACTGGGGAAGTCACATTTAGAAAGACTGGTGTGAATCGGAGAATTGCTACTTTTCTTTCAGTTGACTAATAATTCAATACATTTTCTGCATATTTCAGAGCCAAGTTATTAGAGCCTAAATATCTTGGAATCTTTACATATATGCACTTCTATGTCACTAGTATACATGCCAGTGATAATTTTGTAGACTATTTTTTTCTTGTTTGAACATCACGCTGTTTTTCCTGATACGGTGAAGAAAAAAGCAATGTATTAACTCGAACCTTTACAAGCAACCTCAAGAATGCAACCAAATAGATGAAGTTCAGACAATCATTATTTTTCCTTATGCTGTTAGGTGACAAGCTAAGGTTCACTATTCATCTTTATCCCATCTGTTTTAGGTCATGCGTCTCATTAACAGTAAACATGCCTATTTTAGCCACTTTTCAAAAAGAATTTTTTAAACTGTGCTAAGTGTAACCTAAGCAAAGAATTACAGACTCAAACTGTTAACATCTTCCGATGTTTCTAACAACACTAACAGACCATAGGGCTGCTATTCTGAGACTGGTCTATCTCAAGAAAAAGAGGATTAACAAAAAAAAAAAAAAAGAAAAAAAGAAAAAAAGAAAAAAAAGGGGTGTTGGGGGGGGAAGAGTAAAAGAAAACACACACAAAAAAAGCTTCGAACAAGAAATTCCTCATCACTTTTGGCAACTTCAGAAGTACTCTAAGGCAGGAAGGTTCTTTGCTACAAAAAGTATCTAGTCATCATGAGTCAGAATCGCACTACATCATGTACAGTGAATAAAAGTGATAGATCGCCACTTAGTTAATACACTGACTGCAACCAAAACACCAAATGGGTCATTTTCGCTTGGCCTGAGAATACCCACCCATCGGCATCCTTTCACCGCTTAGTCATCTTGTAAAAAGCTTTATGTTACAAAGCAAAATTACATGCACATAAAACACCTAATTTACTCATTTAAACTCCATGCCCAAGGCTAAAGTTCACTGAAACCTCAGTTTGGAATAGTGATGAGCAACAACCAGCATGGCCTGCCCAGGGAGAGGGTGGCAGGAAAGACCTATCATCTCCGCCGGTTCCAGGCCAGGAGTTTCCCCGGGTTTCGCATTTAGGCATCTTTCACAACTACAAGTTTTCATCACAGATCAGTGAGAGAAGAGCACAATTTCAAGGCACAGTTTCCCGGAGCCAGCGTACACGTACAGGCACACCGCGCAATTTCTGAATGAGAGTCGGTGCAGTATCTCCTTTTGTCGCGATGTAACGCTGCCGGTATTATATTATTTCTTTCTCTCCTCCTGAATCAGCCCCCTCCCCATGCCTTTCCCCTCCTCTTCCCTCCCTCCCCCATAAAAACCCATAATCACATTTGAGAGAGGCTCCGCACTTATCCGTTCCATATGGCTCTCACAATCCAGGCCAAGCTTTCCCTGTGACCTTTTAAAGAGACAAAGAAGCAAAGTACTTATCTAGAAACAGAAACACTGCAGTTTTCTGAGTGAAATTAGCAAAACCGACCCGAAACTCACCACTTCAAAACTTGACAGCATATAAATAACAAAAACAAAGGAGGTTTCCTTTGCAGCCCGAGCTCTTGAAGAGGAAGAAGTTCAAGACTGATGTTTTTAGGTCCCCCCCTTTCTGAAGGGGGGTGGGGGGGGGGGGCAGCAGACCTGAGGACTACTTCCCTTAATATTCTCTTTTTTTTTTTCTTTTTTTTCTTGTTGCTATTTTCCTCTAGGCGGGGAGGGGCAAAAACAGATAGCGAGAAACAGAGTAGCCATGAGCAAAAATGGCAATGGACAAAAAAAAATAGAGATTAAATATCTTTTGAGAGAGCCAGTTTTCGAGGTTTAGCAACGGAAGACAGAGCTGCAGATCAAATTGATCAGACAAGTGTAACGCTCAAAATGAGGAATTAATAATAATAATAATAATTTAAAAATAAGTAGCAGGTTTAAATTAAGGTGGAGGGTGATTTAAGTCTAGCTATCCTTTCAAAAATAAAACCAATGCATAAAGGATCAAGTGAGAAAGGGGGTTATTAAAAAAAAAAAAGCAAAGAAAAAAAAAGAGGCAGCTTTTCTATCCAGTGTGAAGAGCAGAAAGTCTACTTCTAGGTTGTCACTTACACTATTATTCTCCAATAGGCACCCAGAGGAGCAGCACACACAGAAGGAGCCCGCTCCCCTCCCCCTCCGCAAAAATATACACCGTAACAGCCCCCAAACTTTCTGCGGAAACCTCAGCCCCAGAGATCGCTACTGGAGATAAAAAGAGAAAAAAAAAAAGTGGAGAGAAAATTGCAGGAAAAGGCACTAAAATGCCACTTTTAATCTCGCCTCTGCGGTCCGGGGAGGGAAAAAAAAAAAAAAAAAGGAAGAAAAAAAAGGCAGAGAGGACCTGTCTCCTCTCATTTACCGGGGGCTGTTGTGCGAGTGACGGGGGGAGAGAGGGAGCGAGAGAGGAGGGGAGAGAGAAAAAGAACAGAGGGGAGGAAGGAAACACACAACAAGGCACACCACCACCACTACAAAAAAGTGACGAGGTTTCACTCCCTCCGAGTCCAACACCGGGAGAAATTATAATTAAAAAAAAAAAAAACCCGATCCTATTAGGAAAAAAAAATTAAAAAAAAAAAAGGAAAAAAGAAAACCAACAACAAAAAACTGGTTCTGCTTCTGCAAAGAAAAAAAATGAAAATCTGGGAACTCCGAGAAGAGTTACTCGCAAGAAGGGGTAAAAAATATAAAATAGAAAGGTTGCAAAAAGCCAACAACAACAAAAACCAAGCCAGCAAAAAAACCCCAGTAACAATTGAAAAAGAATAATAATGGTAGGCTTTGTATTTTGTCTTTTTTCTTTCTTTTTTTTTTTTTAATTCTCGTTTCCCCTGGCTGGCTGGGTATGGTTGTTATTTAGGCCGGTTTGGTGGTTGTTGCTGGATGTTACATGGATATGTGTGTGTGTATGTGTGTGTGTCCCCGGACGGAGCTGCCTCGCTCTGCTCTGCTCCCCCCCCCCCCCCTCCTCTCTCTCTCCCTCTCTGTTTCTGTCCCCATTAAATTATTAGTTGACTCATCACTACTCCTCCTCCTCCTGCTGCTGCCGCCGCCGTCCCCTGCTCACAGCCTCCTCTCCTCCTCTCCGCTACCGCTCGCTGCCGCTGCTGCCGCTGCTTCTTCTTCCTCCTCCTCATTTTAATACAAAATAACACCGAGGCCACCGGCTTTTTTTTTTTTTTTTTTTTTTTTTTTTTTCCACAGCCGGAGACGGGAGGAGGACGCAGCCTCCCTGCTGCTGCCCGGAGCCCTTCCCCAGCGGCCCCGGATCATCCGACTCGTCCTGGGAGAGAGAGAGAAAGTGGCAGAGGAGGAGGAGGATGAGGAGGAGGAGGTGGTGGTGAAGGAGAGAGGCGTGGGGGAGGGGAGGCCGGGGAAGGGGGAGGGGGTCGGCAGAAGTGTGGTGGCAGAGGGGAACCGCAGCGAGGAGCGGGGAGGGGGCGCCGGGCCAGGCCGGGCCGGGCCGGGCCGGGGGGGCGGCCGCCGGCGGCGGTAGGTGAGCGGGGGGGCCGGGGGAAGAGGGCGTGCGGCTTCCGGGCGCGCACGAATTTGCAGCTCGCTGGGTGCGGGTGAGGCGGCCCTGCCTGCGCCGCGCACAATGCCCGCTCCGCGCCGCCCCG